AGCCCTATACTTTTACATTGTACCAGGTCTGATTTAAAATAGATATTCATATTTATACACACACATAACTTTTTTACTTTAAAATAAAGTAAAAAATTTTAGACTTAAAAATGTTGCAAAAGTAGTACAGAATTCCTATATATCCAGCTTCCCCTCATGTTAATGTCTTGTATAAACAAATTAAAAAACATTAACATAGGTACAATATTGTTAATTACAGACTGTTTCACCAATTTTCCCATTTGTATCCTTTTTCTGTTGTAGGATTTAATCCAGGATCTCACATTGCATTTGACTGTTATTGTCTGAGTCTACTCTACCCTGTGACAGTTTCTCAGCCCTTCCTTGTTTTTCATGACCTTGAAACTTTTGAAGAGTGCTGGCCAATAATTTTGTACACTGTCCCTCAATTTGGATTTTTCTGCTGTCTTCCACAGTTAGATTGAGGTTATGCATTTATAATGAGAATACTGCAAAAGTGCTATACTCTCTTCAGTGAGACTACAGTCTATTGGGGGTACCTGATACTAAGTGTCTTCTTACTAGAAATGTCAGCCTTGATCACTTGGTTAGGGTGGTGTCTGCTGGTATCTCCATGGTAAAGTTACCATTTTCCCCTAACTAATGAATAAAGTCTTATAGGAGACACTTTGAGACTGTGTAAATACCTTGGTTAACCTTTCAACCATCAATTTTTCTACTACATTCCTCTACTTTTTTTTTTTTTGAGTTGGAGTCTCACTCCTTTCACCCAGGCTGGAGTGCAGTGGCAATCTCACGGTCACCGCAGCCTCGAACTGCTGGGCTCAGGCAATCCTTGTCTCAGCCTTCCAAATAGCTGGAACTACAGGCGCATGCTACTACACCTCACTAATTTTTTTTTTTTATTGTAGAGATGAGGTCTCACCATGTTGCCCAGGCTGGTCTTGAGTCCCTGAGCTCAGACAATCCTCTTGCCACCGCCTCCCCAAGTGCTAAGATTACAGGGGTGAGCCACCATTCCTGGCAATTTATGTTTTTTAAGAGACAGGGTCTTGCTATGTTTCCCAGGCTGAAATGCTGTGGCTATTAACAGGTACAATCCAGATACTAATCAGCATGAGAATTTTGATGTGCTCCATTTCTGCCCTGGGCAGGTACGCTGCTCCTTAGACAATATGGTGGTTCCTTACTCTTGAGAAGTTGCCATATTGATGCCAAATATAGTATGGGCATCTGATCAGCATAGCCCACTACAGCCCAGGCTCCTGAGCACAAGAAATCTTCTCACCTCAGCCTCCCGAGCAGCTGGAACTATAGGTGTGTACTACCATGCCAGGCCAGTCCTCTACATTTATTAAATGGAATGCTTCTGAAAAAAGAGCTGTCCCATTGTTCCCATTTATTTATTTACTTAATTCTTTTTAAATATTGGAATGGACTCATGGATATTTTATTCTATAGGTTATCTTTCAATACTATTGTTATTTATTTTGTTACTCAGATTGTGCCAGCATTGGCCACTGGCAGCTTTTCCAGGTGGGCTTCTGTGTCCTTTTGTTATGACTGTAGCATTTTCTTTTTCTTTCTTTTCTTTTAAATTTTACGTCTTTTTAGTAAATAATTCTTTATTTTGTTTTCACATTTTAATGATAAGTATAGAAAGACAAATATAGTCCTTAACATTCAATATGACCTTTAAGTTTTGCTTTTGCATGTTGGTTTTGTTTCATTTTTTTCCTTTTGTTTTTATTTTAGATCTGGGGTACACATGCATGCGTGTTACATGGACTGTTGTGTAGTGGTGGGGATTGGGTCTCTGGTGGCCTATTCCCCAGATAGGGAACATTATACCCAATACGTAATTTCTGAACCCTAACCCCTTTCCTCTCGATTGCATTTTCTGATCACTTCTTTAATTTCTGGTACCACAAGAAGCACGAGGCTCATCTGATCTTTTTCCCATCTCAGTCCAGGAGTTACCCAACTTCTCTAGGGAGTCCTGATTCCTTTCATTAGGGACTGAGAAACCAGGATAGGGATGTTGGTGTGCTCCCTGTGACTGGGGTAGTATTGCTTTTAGGTTTTCTCAGGGGAAAGAGCTTAGAAATATATCAGTGACTGCTAGCGTAGGGACCTGGGAAAGGAGGTAACTAAAAAGGAGAAACACAGGGAATTGTGGGGCCATCGAGTTGTGCTGGATCATGATTGTAAAGTTTTTGTAAAATCCATAGAACTACACACCAACAGAGTGTAAATTTTACTGTGTATAAGCTTAAGAAATAAAAAAAAACTAAAAAGGGCAAACAGGATGTGGAGGGAACCCACACGGTGGTTTGGGTTAGCAATTCCAAGTGACCTTATGGGTATAAGTACTAGAGCTGCACAAATAAAGTAAATATGCTGTAAATAATGAGAGTCGGGTTTCTTGTTGTTGGAGAGAGAAATTACAAATAAGGAAAGGGCCAAGGCTAGAACAATCTCTGTAGTATTGAACCGGAATAGAGATATCATTATGAACCCATGGTTTAAAAAAAAAAATATATATATGTATATATATACATACATACACACACACACACATATAAAGAGAGAAACAAAATATAGATCTACAAGGAGCTCATTCAGTATGCAGGAGTTAGCATACATACATTTACACACATATATTTTGGCCTATTTTGGGTGCTTTACATTTATTTATTTTTATTTTATTTATTTATTTATTTACTTTTGAGTTGGAGTCTCACTCTGTCACCTAGACTGGAGTACAGTGGCTGCTCCCGGCCACTGCAGCCTCGGCCTCCTGGGCTCAGGCGATCCTTCCACCTCAGCCTTCCAAGTAGCCGGAATTACAGGCGCAGGCTACCACGCTTGGCTAATTTTTTGATTTATTGTAGAGATGAGGTCTCACCAAGTTGCCCAGGCAGGTCTCGAACCTGCGGGCTCAGGTAATCCACTCACCTCAGCCTCCCAAGGCGTGGGATTAGGCTGAGCCACCGAGCCCGGCTTACATTTACTAACTCATTGAATCTTTACGCCAACATTTTGAGAGAAGCACCACTATTATCTGCATTTTACAGGCACGAAAACCAAGAGTCTAAGCAACTGCTCCAGGCTACAGAGCTAGTAAGCAGCAGAGCTGATATACCAGCCTTCCCCGGCTGGTTCCAGAGCCCAAGGTCTTAACCAGAATGCTCTACGCCCTCTGAGCAGGTGAGGAGAATGCCCTCCTCCAAAAAAACTAACATGAAGTAGATAAAACAAGCAGGAAATTGGAAGGAGCTGAATAGCCTTATGTGATGTGACAGTCTCCTAATTAGGTTACAGTTGCAAAGCTTTCAACAACCATCACCTTAAGGTGATGGCTACTATGAAATTACTGCATAACACACGTGGTTTTAGGTTTCTGTTAAGAAAAGTGGGATTAGCTGGGCGTGGTAGCTCACACCTGTAATTCCAGTACTCTGTGAGGCTGAGGCAGGCAGACTGCTTAGACCCAGCAGTTCAAGACCAGCAACATAGTGACTTGTCTCTACAAAAAACAAAAAAATGTGCTGGCTGTGGCAGTGTTCACCAATGGTCTCAGCAACTTGGGAGGCTGAGGTGGGAGGCTTGCCTGAGCCCAGGTGGAGGTTGCAATGAGCTGTGATCATGCCACTGCACTCCAGCCTGGATGACAGAGTAAAACCTCAACTCAAAAAAAAAGAAAACCAGGATTATTATTTTCTTCTCATAATTACAAATAGTCCTCTTATGCTGACCCCCAAAGGGAATCATAAACCATATAAGGACTAGTTTGGACAACTGAATCTATCAAGGAATAATACCACTTATGACATAAATATATACATTGATTCAGATGACAACCAACATTTAGTGAACTCTTAGTATGAGACAAGTATTCCTCTAAGCTTTTACATAGCTAACTCATTTAATTCTAGCAATGCTATGAGATAGGTACTGTTTCCATCTCTATCTGAGAGACAGAAAAACTGAGAGACAGGAAAGTTATGAAAACTGCTTAAGGCCACACAGCTATTAAGTGGTGAAGCCAGGATGTTTTACCACTATGTTGCCAGTCTAAGTGCTGTGCTTTTCAGGTGCAAATATTTGACAAGTCAAATAAACACTGATAACTAATTTAATAAAACACACCATAAAGAAGAGTCGCAAGTGTCACAGATGTTATGACATCATTTTAAACCCACACACTGTAAGAGCTAACTAAATACTAAACCTAAAATATGAACAAGAAAAAGTCTCTGCCTTCCTTATTCAATACAACTATTTTGGATATCCTGATGTCTTCTAAAAACTTTCTAAAATCGGTAATTCAAGTGATAATTCTCAGATTCGTATTTGCTTCCGTCTGAATCTGACAGTAATTGTTCTGCCAGGGAACCTGCCATTATTTGTAGATCTTTTTTTTGGTCTATATCTGGGGGCAGCAGGTATTTAAGGGAGTTTAAAAAAAAAAAAAACTGCCAGGCACAGTGGCTCATGCCTGTAATTCCAGCACTTTGGGAGGCCAAGGTGAGAGGACTGCCTGAGCTCAGAGGTTCGAGACCATCCTGGGCAACTTGGCAAGACCTCATCTCCACAATAAATAAGAATATTAGCCGAGCAGCTGGTAGCACACATCTGTAGTGCCAGCTACTTGGAAAGCTGAGGCAGAAGGATCGCCTGAGTCTAGCAGGTTGAGGCTGGTAGACGTGAGCATGCCAATGCACTCCAGCCTGGGCGAGACAGAGTGAGACTCCAACTCAAAAAAAAAAAAAAACTGAACAAAATAAGTTATAAAATAATTCAGAGTTCCTTTTAAAACTCATCTCAGCTGCATCTTCCCTTTGGATTTAATGTCAGGAAACAATATAATACTATAAAATAAGCAAAATTATAAAAAATACTTTCTTCAGAATACATAAGGAAAAAATACATACAGATATAATTATTTGAGCAATTTAGGTGAAAGTCATAAAATACTCCCAAGTTGCCACCATCTGCTAACATGTAACAAATACCTCATGTCTTGGATAAGAGAGACCCTGAGTGTTGGCAACATAACTCCTGAGTCAGATTTTCTTCTTTCTGGTCCAAGGGCAACTGTGTGGAAAAATATCAGCAAAACATTAGAAAAATAACGAAAAATCGACATGGTTCACATTCTGTAAATAAAGATAACAGAAAAGCTCAAATTCTACTCCCCAAATGTTGCTACTTTATTAATATAGTAAATCAGCTATTTTCTTTCTAGATAATCTGGGGCCAACTAGCAAATAATGCAATGTGTGCAAATGTTGGTCATAAAAACCAGTTATTTTCTAGTTATTCATTCTAATAGCACTGGATAATTACATGAAAGCAATGTCTATAAATGAAGCTACTAAATATGTGAATAATCTCTGGGCTCATTAGCTGAAATCACATAAGTGTTGGAGAGTGTTTTTAAAAAATTTAAGAGTTTGGACTCTTCAGTCTAAGCTTCTATTTCAAAGTTCAGAATCCAGGGCAAAGGGTGTGAGGGTCAGTGAAAGAGAACTCCTGTGCTTTAAAAAAAAAAAAAAAGCTCAGAATCCAAACCACAGTATGTAGAGTATGCAAAGTGAATAATCAAAATGAAAGTTTAATAACCGTGAATATTCTCTCATAAAACCTGAATAGCTAATGTTTATGAAAGAAGGAAAGATTATTTCTTATATAGCAATGGCTAAGCAATCATCTATTGGTTGATGTATTATAGCTGGGGTGTACAGTTTACTTTCATTGAGATGTCATGGAGTTTTACGCCCTTTCTTATTTTCATTTTCTCATCTGTAAATAAAAATTAAATTGCAACATCACACTTAGCAAATAGATCAACATAAGCAATCCAGTATGACTGGTGTCCTTATAAAATGAGAACATTTGAACACAGACACGGACAAAGAGAAAAGGCAATGTGAAGACAGGGAAAATGCCATCTACCAGCACTTACCAAGAAATGCCTGAGACTACAGAGAAGATAGGAGAGAGGCACAGAATAGGTTCTCTCACAGTCCTCAGAAGGAACTAACCCAGCCAACACCATAATTTTGGTCTCCCAGGTTTCAGAACAGTGAGACAGTACATTTCAAAGCAGATTAAGGATTGAGAAATAAAGTCATGCCTTTTATCTTTTTTTTTTTGAGTTAGAGTCTTACTCTGTCACCCAGACTGGAGTGCAGTGGCCACTCCTGACCACTGCAGCCTTGACCTGCTGGGCTCCGGAGATCCTTCCGCCTCAGCCTTTCAAGTAGCTGGAACTACAGGCACGCACTACCATGTCCGGCTAGTTTTTGATTTATTGTAGAGATGATGTCTAACCAAGTTGCCCAGGCAGGTCTCGAACCCACGGGCTCAGGCAATCCACTCACCTTGGCCTCCCAAAGCGCTGGGATTATAGGCTGAGCCACCGAGCCCAGCCTCATGCCTTTTATCTAGAGATCTAAAAATCTAAGAAGGTTCCCATGAATCTACTCTATGCAGAAGAGAATTTTTTTATTTTTTATTATTTATTATTATTATTTTTATTTTTTAATATTTTTTTGAGTTGGAGTCTCACTCTGTCACCCAGACTGGAGTGCAGTGGCCGCTCCCGGCCACCGCAGCCTCGACCTGCTGGGCTCTGGCGATCCTTCCGCCTCAGCCTTCTGAGTAGCTGGAATTACAGGCGCGTGCTACCACACCCGGCTAATTTTTTTGATTTATTGTAGAGATGAGGTCTCGTCTGCCCAGGCGGGTCTCGAACCTGTGGGCTCAGGCAATCCACTCACCTCAGCCTCCCAAAGGCGTGGGATTACAGGCTGAGCCACCGAGCCCAGCTTAATTTATATTCTTATATCACTAGGCCTTCACCAATATTTGGCAGTGCAGCACAAGCAGGGACTGCATGAGACTTTGACACAGTTTATATTTCTTATCCTTGACTTCAGAGTTTTGCTGGTCCCACTACTGGCTAGTCTCCAACTGCAGCCCAACACTTGACCAGTGACCGCCATGCATGGGCAACACCAGCAGCATTTCACCCCACAAATGGCTGTTTCTTCATAGGCATTTCTTTTTTCTATTTATGGTAAACTATCTTGGTCATGGTCTAATGAACTGAACAGCCACACTTTCTGTTAGAGACAGTTTCAGGGCAAACGCATTTTACTTCTTAACAGAAAAAGGGGCAGAGGAGACAGACATGAGAGAATGCTTTTAAGCTTGATCTGAATCTTTATAAATATAGGTACAGCAGAACCTTGACATCCTGCTTAGAGGAGCTCAAGGGCAATGTAGTGTCAAACTCATTCCTAGCTTTCTGATTAAATACACTGACAAACCAGGTTTTCAACAATAAACATCACATTTGGGGTAATGTTGCCTTCTGGGGCAGTGAGGGAAAAGGAATTAGGGATGAATACAAGGGTATTTCAATCATATTTGCCATGCATTATTTCTTTTTCTTTTATTTTTTTGAGTCAGGGTCTCATTCTGTTGCCCAGGCTAGAGTGCAGTAGCATGATCACGGCTTACTGCAGCCTGGACCTTCTGGGTTCAGGCAATCCTTTGCCTCATCCTCCCAAATGCTCTACCATGCCCAGATAATTTCTTGATTTTTTTTTTGTAGAAATGAGGTCTCGCTATGTTGCCCATGCTGGTCTTGAACTCCTGGGTTTGAACAGTTCTCCCATATTGGCTTCCCAAAGTGCTGGGATTATAGGTGTGAGCCATTGCGCCTGACCACATTATTGCTTTTTCTCTTTTCTTTTTTTTGAGTTAGGGTCTCATTCTGTTGCTCAGGCTGGAGTGCAGTGGTACGATCATGGTTCACCGCAGCCTTGACCTCCCGGGCTTGAGCGATCCTTCTCCCTCAAACTCCTTAGTAGCTGGGACTATGGCGTGCAGCACCACGCCTGGCTAATTTTTTTGACTGTCTGTAGAGATGAGGCATTGCTATGTTGCCCAGGCTAGTTCTGAACTTCTGGTCTCAAGCAATCCTCTTGTCTTGGCCTCCCCAAAGTTTTGGGAATCCATGTGTGAGCCACCACACTGGCAATGCATTATTTCTTAAGCTAGTGGCTGACTTATGAGTTTAAAAAATATATATGTGTATATATATATATTTTTTACATTTTCTTTTATTTTTAGAGACAGGATCTTGCTATGTTGCCCAGGCTAGTCTTGAACTCTTAGGCTCAGGTGATCCTCCTGCCTCAGCCTCCTGAGTAACTGATACTACAGGTATAGGCCACCATGCCCAGCTAACTTTTTCATACTTCTAAATTTCTAAAATAATCCATAATTTTAGAAAAGATTCTCAAATGGTCAGTTTCATATAAAATATCTTATTTCTATTAGCTTCCCACCGTTACTTCTTTTTGTGAAATAGATGGTTATTTTACACAATGAAAAGTAAGCTCCTTTCTGTGAAAAATGCACAGTAGTTAGAACACTTATCCTACATAACTCAAATTAACTACAAAATTACAACATTTCTAACATGTGATATCTTCTATACATTGAAGAATAAGTTCTGAAGATTTTTGAGACACATACATCTTTTATTCCCTGAAAGCTCATTAGTAATGGTCATAAAACTTTTCTCAGCTGTGCGTGGTGGCTCTTGCCTGTAATCCCAGTACTTTGGGAGGCTGAGGCAAGAGGACTGCCTGAATCCATGGGTTCAAGACCAACCTGGGCAATATGGTGAGACCGCGCCTCTATAATAAATAAATAAATAAATAAATAGCTGGGTGTGGTGGCGCACACCTGTAATTCCAGCCACTTGGAAAGCTGAAGTGGAAGAATTGCCTGAGTCCAGCAGGTCGAGACTGTGGTAGCCATGAACATGCCACTACAATCCAGCCTGGGTGGCAGAGTGAGACTCCAGCACAAAAAAAAAAAAAACAGAAACTTTTCTTTAGGGGAAAAAAATCAGTATACACCATACCCTAATACTGGTGAGAGTAAGGAATAGTCATATGGTCCTTTACAATTCATTGGGGGTTTTTACATGCTTCCTTTTTGATTAACATGACAACGTTGGCATAGTTAATGTTATTTTCTCTATTTTATTAATGAGGAAACAGGAAATCAGAAAGGTTAAATGACTTTTCCCAGGTTTCACAGCTAGTAAATAATCTCACTACTTTCAAGATGGAGAAAGTTTTAGCTTGAGAGAGAAAGAGATCAAGACAAGACCACACAGTATTAACTCTTCTCAAGGTCCAATGCTGCCAGTTCTATACAAACAATCAAACCAATGATCTCTCACCTGGTGATTCTGCAAGGTGCTCTTGCTTCTCTTCTCTGTCCTGAAATTGAATTAAATGTGACCACAAAGCCGACTTCCCCTGAAAGTACAAGGTACATAAAATTTTTCATTAAAAAAAAAAAATTCATCAAAAAATAATTTCTCCTCAAAACCATTAACATTAAAATAGCTATTTAGAAGTTTGGTGACCCAAGTTCATCCATTAGTAGTGTGTGACATTCTGAGCATCCTATTCCCTGTGTCATAAAGGTCATCCTTTGCCTCACTGAGAAGACTGGCAAAAGCCTGGGGAAGGGAAGCAGTTAAGCAAAAGGACAGAAGGCAAGGCACAGAGATTCCTGATGTCAGCTCAGTCGTTACCTCACTGTTTGTAATTAGGGCTATCTCTACTGGCCACATTTGTAACAGTGGAATTAAAAGGCTCTAGCGGCACAGAATATATTCTTGTATATCCATATGCAAAATGTGCGTGGATATGTGGAGTGGCAATGAGAGAAAAAGATCAGGTAAGAGCAGAAAAAAAGGGAAGAAAGAAACATGGACATATCGGAAAAGAAATCAGAAAGGGAGACTACAGAGATAAAAGCAAAGAGACTGAATTTTTCCATCCTAAATTATTAGATGACTTAAAATGGTAAAAAATTGTTATTTCTGGCCAGCAAAATTTTTTTCCTGGACAGTGACAAAAGCAGACATTTAATGAAATCTACAGGGTATATGGCCTCTGCAATGAATGCGCTATTTTATCTTTTCCTGCCTGTTAGAAAGGATCTCCAAACCATCTCCTGATCAAGGGTTGTTTCATTCCCTTTAATTGAAATGCCTATGGCACATTTCTAGTCATCCTGTGACAAAGAAACATATCCTTTTTTATGACATCTTTTTTATGACATATCTCATTCTGTTTAGTCTTTTGACATCTTTTTCTCTTTGTTATTTATTTATTTATTTTTTTGAGTTGAGTCTCACTCTGTCAGCCAGACTTGCACGCTCCCGGCCACTGCAGCCTCAACTTGCTGGGTTTCGGCGATCCTTCCACCTCAGCCTTCCAAGTAGTCGGAACTACAAGCGTGCGGTACCACGACCAGCTAATTTGTGATTTACTGTAGAGACGAGGTCTCGCCAAGTTGCCCGGGAGGGTTTCGAACCCGTGGGCTCAGGCAATCCTCTCGCCTCGGCCTCCCAAAGTGCTGGGATTACAGGTTGAGCCACCGAGCCCGGCCTGTTGCTTTTCTTAACAGGTCATGTCACCAAGACCTCCTGAGACTGTTACCTGCTTGACCTGTAGGCCATGGCTCCATATCCTCTCCAGCAGGTCACAGAGGCTGGCGATCAGTGTGTTCTCCTCCAAGCCGGTGATGTTTGCTTCTCCATGGCCCAGTTCCACTGCTTCATGTCCCATCTTCTCCACCAACATGCGTTTTGTCTGAAAATAACACGTGCAGTCACAAATTGCCCCAGTAGTGAAACAAAACACCAACCCACTAATTCCTGGAGTAGGAGAACTGGTTTCCCTTCATTATATTTTAATTGCCTTGGGGAAAATGTCTTAATCTCTGTGATCAACTAACTGAAGTAATACCATCTAAATGTTACTATTTTGTCAGAGAAATTGGGGGGTGACTAAAGAAGATAATATTCATAAAGCATCTCTATGTTAAAAAAGGCTTATGTACAACAATTTTCAAATTATTAATTTCTGTGATATTGGGGAATTACACTAGACCTGGAAAATGTACTGTCGGAGTCTAGATCCCCATCCTGCCACCACAACTTGCCCTCCTCCTTCCCCAGTATCTTAGCTTATTAAAGATTCTTAAGCTTAGCTTGACTGCACTTAGGTAAAACCTACGTTACTGATGGGCAGCCCTAAGTCTCTGAGAACTCTAATTTATGAGTGAACCAGGACTCTTTTTTCCCCCTTCTTTTCCTCTTTTATCTCTTCTTTGCTCATGAGCACACACCAAAAAATGGAAATCATGTAAGTTATCCCATCAGTCCTAGCAGCTCACATACAGTGTGACATGAGACAGAATCTCATCCCTTTGGCAGGAACTTTATCTGTTAGACTCACCTCTAAATGCTAATTTAATAAAGTATTTACTGAATATGCAGAGAAGGTGCTTAAGAAATCACTGTCAAATAAATGAATGAAATTATTGACAAAAATGATGTTTTGAGATTTTTCAATTTATATTGCTACTTCTGATAAACACAGATACCTGAGAGGAGACTGTCGTACAATATACACAAACCTACAACACAGCTAAGGTCTTTTTCCTTATAAGTATACAAACCATGTATGAGCACAGATAAGGTTGCACATAGGTTCACACACAGACACACAACAAACGTGCCACTTTCACATAAGACAACATTCCTGACACAACTTATGAGTGGCTTAAGACATCTATTCATACTGGAGAGAAGGATAGCTGAAAAGGTGAGAAAAACTATATAGGGCTCCCATATCATTAATTCTGTGGGCAATGGAGAACCCATGGAGGTACTCCGTAAAGGACTCATGGGCCTATGCCACTGTAAAAGTTTTCTTCTAGGATAGTTACAGGCTCAAATGGGGGTTAGTTCAGCTCATCTTAGCCTCCCACATGGTGTAAACATGAGTGCACACTATCTGGCATCAGTGAGTAGTACATACCTTCATTCTACATTCTTTCAGTAAGCCTTCCACAAATTTCCAGTTGGTCTGTGCAATCACTGCAGGAGAGAGGTCTGACAATTTGGGTTGCCTCAAGTTTTTTCCTAAACTTCGTGCCTCTTGCATATATTTCTAAAAATTAAAGAGTATTTTAAATGCATAAACATTAGATATCCTTCTGATCTTCTTAACCTTACACAGACAGGTGAAGGAACAAACAAGATGCACAAAGGACCGCAAGTGTATGTGCGTAACAGCAATTGAAGTTTTAGTGCACCAAAAGGCAGAGGGTACTCACATTCCCCCTGCTCTCCCCATAGCCGATTAACTCCTGTGAGAAGGAGGGGACAGAAACCCCATTAGGTTAAAACCTATTCAAAATGAGATGATGTCTCATTTTGTTTAGTCTTTTTACTGGGAATACCCAAGGTTGTGATTAGTCAGGACCATGGGTTAGGATGAAAACCTTTAGGTGTCTAGACGAGAAGCCTGAGGTTCTGTAGGAGCCCAGTGGTCCTCAGATCACTGGTTTCCTCCACCCCTCTCCTCATACATTAAAAGAACGAATGCACCTCTAACCTCTGGGGCAGTGCCCTCCAACCTAGCCCTGTGCCCTATACCACATCACACAGTAAAACCCGGAGCTCTAGAGTGTGGCTGTAACTAATTTTATGACCTTCAGGCATATCAATGAATGTACAGCTCAGTTTATTAGTTCAATGAGCATAAAACATGCCCATCTGCCGCTTAAAAATGCTAAAAGAGTATTCCGAAAAGCACAATGTGCTCCAAATACAGGTGGCCTCTTCGTTCTGTGATGAGTTTGCTAAAGCCTTGTTCTATAATCAAAAGAAAGTGGGATCATAGTGTTACTTTTTGGAGTTTAGAGTAACTCTTTTTTTTTTTCAGTTGGAATCTCACTCTGTCGCCCAGACTGGAGTGCAGTGGCCGCTCCTGGCCACCGCAGCCTCGACCTGCTGGGCTCCGGCGATCCTTCTGCCTCAGCCTTCCAAGTAGCTGGAACTACAGGTGCACGCCACTACACCTGGCTAATTTTTTATTTATTGTAGAGATGAGGTCTCGCTGCCCAGGTGGGTCTTGAACCCGCAGGCTCAGGCAATCCACTCACTTCAGCCTCCCAAAGCGCGGGATTACAGACTGAGCCACCGAGCCCGGCTTATCCTTACTATCTTAAGGGAAGAATTTGACATTATGAGAGAAGATGTGTAAAGTTCTTTGCATTCTTTAAATAACAGAGTTTATACATTTAATATATTTCTCCTTTGGGAAAAAAGTAATCTACTAAATCCAAATTTTTAAAAATACCACTTCTAAGGAATTCTGCTGATCAGTTAACATGCTACTTCCCACCCTTTCTGATGAAAAGCAACATTAACAAAGTAATCTGTTTCTTTCCCAGCTCAATCACTTTAAGGAGAGATTTCAAAATCAAATGAACTCTGCAGGTATTTCGATCCCATAGAAATTCTTTGTGCCTCAGATATTTTTAAGAGGTTCAAAGAAGGGAAAACCAAGAATGAGAGACAACTGCTACCAATAGGGAAGAGTTAAATACAACAAGGTCTATAGGAACACTTTGAAGGTTGATATTCAAATAAATAAACATAGGAAGTGAACACATTTCAGAAAATCAACCTGAGATACAGGACGGAGATCCTATTTGAGAACAATAATATTTGCATTTTCTATTGTTTAAGGTTATACTAATATTTGGAATATTAAAACTAGAGATAAAAGGTTGGTAAAAACCATTAAACGTTTAAAGCGTTCTTTATTCTCCCACCTTCAACTCTTCTGTCTTTAGGACTTGTGCAAACGAAGAGGAAACTACCGTTAAGACTTAATTCTCCAGAATAGTTAAGTATCAAACTTAGTTTAGGAAGAAATATGCCAGCTAAAATAAAATATGCCAGCTAAAAGAAAAAGTAGGAACATGGTCATGCAAGAGACTGGGAAGAAACCTTTGGCATTTCTCTTTTTTTCCTAAAAAATATGAATAATTTCAACAAGTCAATAACTGGATTAAAAATTACACCCTGTTTAAAGTTTATGCACTGCTTTATATAAATGAAAAAAAGCTAGTTGTAGGCTGTCCTGAGAGCACCTAGCACACGTGGGCAGGTATAGCTATTGGCCAACAGCAGACTCCACAGGGCATGTGCAAGTCTCCTGAGCCTCACTGCTGGGGTCACAGAACTACCAACCTTCTATGGACAAGCACAGAAAGGACACGAAGGCACCTTGGCATGGAGTAAAAACAGAGCACTGCCTTTAAATTAAACAAAGGATGACAAAATGGCAGTGAGAAGAAAAGACATTCTTTTTTTTTTTTTTTTTTGAGTTGGAGTCTCACTCCGTCACCC